AGACAGCATGCCAGGAGCCCCTGGCATGCTGTCTCTCTATTTGGCCGATTTCTACTCTTTCCAGCCGCCATCCGAAGCCTGGTAGAGGCTAGTCTTGGTCGACCAATCTGGGCGAGAGGCGTCACTCGTACGTACCGACACTAGAGTTAAAACTTTCTGATCTTTATTTCCTGCTTCTCGTGAATTTGAGAAAAAAAAAAGGCTCCGCGCTGGCCGGGTAGTTAACTCCCAAGCAACAAAAACAAACAAACAAACAAACAAACAAACAAACAAACAAACAAAAACTTCCGTTCTGTAGCAGATCCTACCATGGAGGATTCGATACTGGCAGTGCTCCATAAAACTACAAGAGGCCGCTTTTTATCCAAGCACCTCACCTTAGTTTTTAACTTATAAGCCGTAACGGAACGCGCAACTTACCTGCCATGGCAGGTATCCAATCCATCCTGGATTGGGTGAGTTTTCTGCTTAGCTGTCCGCCGCTGGTTAAAATCCCCGAAATTATACATCTTGATAAACAAAACATCAACCAATTCATATTTCTTTAAAGAACAAACAGTCTTGATTATCGATATTGATATCAATACTTTGATCAAAGTGCGCATGTGGTTCCCTCTGAGAGGTACCGTACAGCTCCTTGGTCATCATCATCAACATGGCTGCCGCAGACCAAGACGATGCAGTTCGTCCTCGTTCCTACCAAGACGAGAGCTACCTGTACGGGTTTCTTGGAGCTGTGGGTGACTTACAACAGGATGGGGAGCTGCAGGATGTCGTCCTTGAAGTCGAGGGCCGGCGGTTTCCCTGCCATCGGCTTGTTCTGTCCGCGGCCAGCCCCTACTTCAGAGCCATGTTTACAAGCGACATGGCGGAAAGTCGGCAGAAGACGGTCGTTTTGCAGGTAGGGATGGCTTATAGGGTTAAACAGAAAAGAACAGAGAAGGCTTAGAGATGCAACATATAATGAAGAACTGGAAAAAACAGGGAAGGTCATTGTTTTCACCAGAAAATGTCATTTTCTGTTGTTATTTGTGATTTGCTCAGGTATATGTCAACTTTGCTGGTTACACTGAGCACTGTAGACTGTTCTCAATGATAATTAACATTTAACTGTAATATTATACTTCTGTAGATTGACTTATTATATGAGTTTATGGAATTTTAATGTAGTTTTGTAACCGTAGGTCATTATTTATTTTATTATTTCTTTGAATTTCTTTCATTGAATATGCATGCAAAAATATGACAAGGACTGGAATAATATGGTCAAGTTTTGCTGTGTTAGGCCACACTGATTTAATTTTATGGATGACAACTGCGCGCGCATTGGTTTTCACCTGTTCTAAATAAAATTACCTCCGATGAGGTTCTGGCCTGGGTGCCATCCTCCGTAGTCCATGGTAACTATGGAGGATGGCACCCAGGCTGCGAAAACTCCACGGAACTCGAGACTTCAGTACAGTGCCAACACAGAAGTGTCGCAAAAGGCCAGCATGTGGTGACTAGTAAAAGTCAATAGGTGCTACCGCAAATTGACAATCCCAGCTTTGTTTTTCTGTGGTTTAGGAGTATTTTTCCTGGGTGGAATTTTTTTTAATTCGCCCGTGCGCACTAGTTTTGGGGTCTTCCAAGGATGTCATCCATTAAATTAAGTCAGTGTGGCCTTATAATTTATATACTCCAGGTTTTTTTTTTTCAAGTTTGTACATCATTACATCATTATTCTCCTCCAGGGTTTGGATGCAGACATGTTTGGGGAGATTCTGAGTTACATCTACTCGGGAACCCTCCATGTGTCCCTGGACAGAGTGCAGCACCTGTACCAGGCAGCCGACCTCCTGCAGCTGGACTATGTGAGAGACACCTGCAGCAGCTACATGGCCAGGAATGTGGAGCACTCCACCTGTGTGGACCTGTACAAGTTTGCTGATGTCTTCTCTGTGGGTGTCGTCCTGAAGCGTTGTCTACGGTATATCTGTAGGCACTTTGTGAAGGTTGGTTTTCTTATACAATGTACATTTGTACTAGTACATTGTTATGTCACTAAAGACTGTTGAACTTCAGATACCTATATGTATGTTTAGATTTCCATTCATTTGAAAATAAGTCACATATCCACACGTTGTAAATTTTGTTCCAACAAAAAATTGTTTTTACCCAGAGCTTTTGACCAGTCACTTTGACCTTCTTCAATATATAGACTGACCCAGTGGGACTTGTCACGTGGCTTCTCTGAAGTGTGACGTCAACACTGGGTCAAATGCATCCATGAGTAAATGATTTCGACCCCCGTCCCGGTTGAGTGTTTGGTGATGGGCCCTGATGTAAAATTGATAGCCCTTTTTCATGCCTCTCAGGAATTAGTAGTGACTTGTCAGGACTCATAATTCATTTCTGGGAATAGGTGCACTGGTGGACCCAACTTAAGAAACTGGGTGCACAAAAAAGTGTTTGGGTGCACCATGTACATGTAGAATTTTAGCAAAAACTACTTACGTTTCATTTATAAAGAAAAATACTACAACAAGGATTTTCTTGTTTTTCTGACACTTAGATGTCAACAATATGCTGTATTACTACAGTAGTATACATTTAACATCTTTACATATGTAAAGCTACAATGTTTGGGTGCACTTAGGTGCACCGGCACAGAAAATAATTGGATGCAAAGCTCCAAATTTGGGTGCACTAAGGTACACATATACATGCACCCAGTATTTCGAGCCCTGCTTGTTCAATGTCCAGTATTCTTACAATGGTTTTAACTTCAAACATGTAACTACCAACACAGATGAACTTTATCATAACCTTACCCACAGGTTTCCTCCAGTGAGGAGTTCTGCAGCCTGAGTGTGGATCAGCTGACTGAGATCATCAGCCATGATGAGCTGGATGTTAAAGAGGAGACAAGAGTGTGGGAGGCTGTGGTGAGATGGGTGCAACACAGTACAGAGGACAGGTGGGCAGCAGTGTTCTACTGGTTCAACTAGGGCTGCGTACCAGTACTAGTTCTGTGTACTGGTACATTACCACAAAAATTGATTATACAGGTCCAAAATACCGAATCACTAAGTGCCAGCTAGAGCAAAACAGTCCACATGGTTCTGTTTTCTTTGAATATGGCATAAGGCCATATAGTTCTGTCCTGTTTTATCTGAATAAAGCTTCTGTCAAGTTACATTGTAATTACTAAACTGTTTTTAATGTTATTAAGGGAGTGCAGAAGAATGTTATTAAGGGAGTTCAGAAGAACATATCTTGATTTGTCAAACTGTTCAGGTATGTATGTACAGAACTGTAGGTACAGGTATGGACCTGTATCTAAACCTCTGTACTGGTATGTTTAGTTACATACCCTAGGTACAACTGAATGTAGAGAAGGGCTTAAAGGCATCCAATGCAATTTCAGATTTGCAAGCAAAAATACTAGTATTCTGGATGAGAAAATCTGTCTAATACTGACATTTACTGCCACTTCTTAACACATTTTGTCATCATTTTAAAACTAGAAGCATTTGAAATAGCGCCCATAACAAGCTGCGTGGGGTTTCGCTTGATTTTCGGGTACCATCCATAAAAGGCTAGAACGAGCCTGTGATACAAAAGAAGCAACTGTTTTCCATCAGCAGCATTGCATTTTTGCCTCATAGATATCAGTATGCTATGGGATAGTGCTGCATACCTAAACCCAATTTTAGGTTCAGGTCCGGATTCAAGTCCAGAGGTTTAGGTTCAGTTCCGGACTTGTAAGTCCGGACCTAAACCTATGGCATATACAAAATTGCATATTGGCAACCTTGCAATGTTGTCTGGGTGAAACTTTGGCCACATACAATGGAGGCCGGTACTTGACGATGCCTGATGGCAATGTTTTCTTCGTTTTGCAGCAAAGATTTTACAATCTACGGAAGGTTTTAGGTGGTTTGGAAAGAAAAGGGGTATGTGAAATGGTCTTTTATGGTAATAAGTCCGGACTCGGTTCTTGACTTTTAGGTTTTTTTGGACTTGAACCTAAACATTCTTACAAGTCCGGATCCAAGTCCAGTGAACCGGTATGCATCACTACTATGGGACAGGATTGATCTCATTTACTACATTAAATTGCTGAAATTCCATTGAAATTACATTAGATGTCTTTAATGACCAAGGCTTAGTGTGTGAGTATGTCTGTTATTATCGTATTGTTACATGAAATGTGTGTGCGAATCCGACGTCATTCTCATGATTCAAGATGTTTACTGATTAGTTACATGTACCATGATGCCAGGAAATCAGCTAATTCTGCCCTTACCCTGTACCCTACAGACTGCACCACTTACCCAGCATCCTCCCTCGCATCCGCTTCAACCTGCTGACCTCAGATGACACGGCAGCCATCTTGAAACACCCCCTGGTCAGGGAGGATCCTGGGGGTATTCAGGTCATCAGGAATGTGGTAAAGGAGGCTTCCGTCCAGAAGAAGAGATTTAGGATGGACACCATGGAAATGGCCTGTCTTTTGGATATGGAGTCAGTATATATTTCTTCTTTCACTCAAAGTCCTATCTTGATAATAATGATAGAGTTAAACCCTATCTAGACTGGGGGTGGAGGGGGTGGGGGGCTAAAAGTGCCCGCGCCAACTTTGATGTCGGATAGCGTCCGAACGGATTGCCATAGGGCCATCAATCTAGTGACTTTTCCTAGAATATTGTTGGCAACAATTTCAAAGCAGTGAGATAGAGCCTTTGGGAGAGGCACTTTACATGACTTTCCTCACTTTACTCAGGACAGAGGTATAAATGAGTACCTAGCTTCAGTTAGAGACATCCCTGAGATAGGGCGTTAAATGGAGGTCTTGTAATGTACATGAACATTTAAGAATCCACCACACTTAAAGTGTGGTGGATTCTTAAATGTTCATGTACATTATCGAAAAGAGTAGATGACCTTCCCAGTGTGAGTGGACCAAACTTACAGTACTACATGTATGTCCGCAGTATTGAGGTCACCTGAGTTAGCGCTAAAAGGCAGCTGCTCCAGACCCTTGTGATTAAGCCCCAATAATTCTAAGCTCCTCACAATTGGCTGCGAAGATAGAGTACTAGTAGCTGACCCACTTCACAGCCAGTTTTATTGTGACTTCACCGCCAGTTTTATTGATGGTTTGCGGTGTACTCTTCCATTTCCAGGACCGGTGACATTTTCTGCATGAACCCAAGGCAAGGGAAGTACACCAAGATCAGCTTGCCCCCCCATCTGAAACACAAATTACTGGCAGGCATGACAGTTACCAGCGACAATGATTTGTACGTCCTTATTCACGAGCCGACCGATCATCAGTTGTACACGTTTGAGTACAACCAGGTGTGTAAAGAGTGGGAACAAACCTGCACTAGTGTATCCCGTTTTTGTGATGTTGGATGGGGCGGAGGGGATTTTGCATCAAAAGAATTCTTTGTTGAAGTCGACAAATGCCTCTACCTCATCATGGTGAAAGACACATTGCTTGGTATGGTGGTTTGGACCAGAAGATACAATTGGTACACAGAGGAATGGCAGGAGTGTGAAAAGCTGCATTTTGAAGAAGGAGCAGATGAAATCTTCTGCGTTGGGGTGACCTCTGGATCGCACCTCTATTTCCTCATGAACTCAGAAGTGCATCGCTACGACCCAGTCCATGACCAGTGGGACCGGATGACCCCGCCTAGAACCCTCCCACACCTCAGCACAGCCGTTGCCATGGGAACAGAAATCTTTTGCACAGACTACAAATCCACCAAGATCATGGTGTACGACACAGTGTCAGACAGCTGGGAGGCACTGCAAGCCTGGGTTAACCCATTTAGGAACCGCATAGATTCTCGTCATCTCTTTGTACTGGAGAACCAGCTGCATGTATTGTTAGAGCCTGATAACTCAATGGCAGAAGAGGGAGACGAAGAGGACTGTCTTGTCCTTGTGTACGACAGGTCTGAAGATGCTTGGAGAGACTTGAAGGCCACCCTGCCTCCTGTTGAGTGTTATGAAGTGTGTGGTCCCATGTGCACTATGGCACAAGCATGTAATGTGCCTACCATACCTTAGCATGTAATGTGCCTACCATGCCTTAGCATGTAATGTGCCTACCATGCATTAAAATGCATTTGAAGATATACAGAGTACCACAGGGTAGGAAGGTTTCACAGCATGTTTAGTTTCCCTGTTACTCAGGTTGGGACAGATTGCCCAGTATTGTAACACTTTTATCTTTTCTTGAAACTAATACTACTTTCTCAAAGTACTAGTTTCTGCTACGAGATTTTTGCTGACTTTTGTTTGACTTCTGATGTTTTGGTTGAGTTTTATTGCTTTTACTTCTTAACATGATAATAACTTTATTGCACAACAATAACGCTACTTCTTAACATAATTATAATAATAACTTTATTGCATAATTAGGGTACAAAGTATGGCAAGTACATAACTACACTTTCGTAAGGCTAACCTAACTACCACAAGAGTGGGTGGCTAGTATGTGATAGGTTTTAACTTTTTCAATCATTGGAGGAATTTCTAAAATCTTTAATACAGAAATGGATGGAATCGCCATGGATCAAAACCGCCCCTTAGCGGAAAAAGAAGTTACTGCAGTAACTTAACTGACACTATCGTCCTTCATTGAACTGGTAGAGGCCGCTTTTGATCCATGCATTTCACCTTCATAACCTATAAGCTAGTACAAGCCGTTAATTGTGAGTTCGCAGCCTGGTATCGTGTCCTATCGTGTAGAGCATGTACACCTTTGATTTGTACTTGACTACACTAGTACTGTGAATTCCTGCGTACCTCAGTGATATTCACCAGAATAATGATCTTTTTCGGCCTAGTTTTCAAAGCACGAATACTAGTTATGTAAGTACAGATCATAATTGATTATAAATGGATAATAGATTTTTGACGTCGATTGCGTAAATGATTAGATAAGTGATAGATTTTATGATGGATTTTTGTTAAATAAGCTCACACACTTGTTATATTTGTAATTTTAGTAGATCTAGAGGAGACCATCAATGGACATTTGTTATTCCTATTTAGACATCTTCTATTCTGATTAGGACCTATTCTAAGTAGTTTATATTTTGACAATATCTGATTGTATTTGAGTACATAGAGCAAGCACGAGCTTTGAAAGAACCCTCGCAGCTATGGCTTCATCCTCATAATCCGTATTTTTGTGTCCTCTCATCCACTGACATTCAAAAGGTTTTCACTCTCAAGAAAATAATGATAATATGGTTTGAAGTCAGGTAAGCATTAAAACAAGGTCTCATTGTTTAAAGTTACGCTCCGAAATTTCTGTTAATTAACTGAATATTGATATTTATGTTGATAAAGTAACCAATCGTGGCTTGTTGCTGAACATGATGCAGAGTTGCTTTTTATTGGTGACTTGTTTTACCTTTTATTATTGCCCTTTACCTGCAAATTAATAAACACAAAGACGACATATAGATTTAAAATCCGTGTATTAAAATCATAACATCATCAAATTTATTGACTTAACATTGGTTCCAATATAATTGTTTGTAAAGCACCAACTTCCGTTGATATAGGTAGCTGGAGAATGTCTAGCTAGCTACTATATCGCTATGTTACCATTTTATTGTAAGGCCATGACTTGGTTATATGGATGGCATGAATTTTTGGTCCGTTTTCCCAATAAATTTTCGACCAGAATGAAAGAAGAAAATGGGAAGAAATGAAAATGAAGAATCTATTATTCGACATGCCATACTCTGTGCGTTTAGTTTAAACAAATGAGTAAACAACACAGGGAAATCTACTGAAATCCACATGGAATCTACGTGATTTCATAATGAAGGGAACGTTTTTGCCAAGCTTCTTTTACTGACATGCTCCCATCAGCTTTGGTGTTCCCATGGCCAGATGATGTCATCCATATAATCAAATCAACATGGCCTAATACACTACAAATGAATAATTATCATATCTTCCTCACTCATTATCTTATCTGTTTGCACCAATGTAACATCGATATCTGTAAGGCACAAAATACGAGCATAGATTTCCATAGGTCATCATTATACAAGTCAATGAAATAACATAACATTGCATAAACGATAGCAAAAACGCAAAGACCATTTTGCATGAAACATTTTCAAAGTGAAGTTTTCCACACCATGACTTCGTCTTCTGTTGATCCTAAGCTTTGGTACGCCTTTGGTACATGTAGCTTTGAGGCTGTGGTATATACATTGTGAATCTGCTGTCTTTTATGACATTTAAAATTTTGTAGATTAATGTCGACAAAATAGGACAAAAGTAGATTGTTTACTGATACATTTTCTAAGCTTCTGTAGGTAGCTCAATATTCACTAAGAAACACCATTGGGGAGAGGTTGTATAAACTGTCATGCAATAATTCGTGTCGAACACAACAAGAAATCTGAGAATTTAGACTTCCAGGGAGTGTTTTTTGTGAATGAATTGGAACTGTATTGTATGATGATGGAAAAAAAAACTGACTGGATTACATCATAGATGTTATATTGTAATGATACGATTGTACATACAACTTACTCTGGTATTACACTAAAATTCATGTTTCATAATACCATGATTACAAAGTGCAAATTCTTGTCAATCTCATGCCACACCCTACCGGTACCCCCTAGGACATACCGGGTCACAACCCTGTCAATCAACCCAATTTTCCCCCTATCACTTCCAGCCCATGTTGTCGAGGATGAGACACATACAAACTTCATCGAAAGCAGTGTTTTAAAAAAAAATACTAAAAAATCTGCCCACTGTTGTTCCAGGGTAAATGTACTACATTGATGCAAATAAGAAGACCACTAAAAAGTGCAATCTTGAAAGTTCATCTATGTTGGACGTCATTATGCAGGAAATTCAAACTTTAATTTCCAACACAAGGAATTGAACTTACCCAAAGTTTCGACATTACAATTTGAGACTTTGTAAAAAAATCTTAGACTCTGAACCAGACTTTTTTTGCACTAGCTATCAAATAGGTCATCTACATCCGGGCATTACAACATTCCATCAACAAAGACGGGGGGCGGCACAGACTATCTGCAACTTGATCCACTGTTTACCGAGTCACGTGTGTCATCTGCATAACGTGACGTCACGGAAGCGGTGGATTGCTCATTCTTTGACAAAGAGTTGTCAAAAATTGGGGTAAGTCCAATTCCTTGTGTTGGAAATTACAGTTTCAATTTCCTTCATGACTAACAACAAAAGTGATTATGAGCCCTTTCTATACACTGACACCTTAAAGAATGTTGTCTAAGTTGAAGTTGTTGAGGTTAGCGGCCTCAGACCAGGCAGCGTACTGCGAGCCGTCCATCTCGGGAGCGTGCTGGTTCCCCTCCGCCAACGCGTGGTTCTGTCCTCCGATGGCAAGGCCGCAGTCCGGGCATCTACCCCCTTGGTTGGCACCACCACACTCTCCAATGGCGTAGAAGTGTCCCTGCAGATAGATTCAAGACGCTTAGTTAAGATCATAATTTAAATACATTGACTACACAGAAACATTCTGTTCCGGCTATAATCACAGTTGTGTAATATACGTAAAAAAAACGTGCGATATGATATTGAATGTGCACTGCACAGCATTTCTACCTTGCGCCCGGATACGTATATTGTGCAATAAACCCTTGCAATCCGGTACATCAAAACTGAAGGCTGTAACGGTTTGCCCTGTGGCAATAGGCTTGTGCAATCTGTTAAATATTGCCCTACTCGTTAGGAATTAACGTCAAGTGCTTGAGCATGAATTATAAAGGTGTACATGCGCCTGGGTGCACTCTAGGAAGACACAACTTCCCAATTCGAAGGAACAAAACTTGAAGAAAAGACACTGGTTGAAAATAAAAACAGTATGCTCTCCAAAAAGGATACATAAAAGCTACTCACGTTTGGGCATTTGTACCAGTGACCCTTTCCAAGACCGATTGCTTCGACGATCTCGGCTTTCTGTTCCTTCGTCAACGCTGACAACTCGGGATGACTTCGACGAACATCTTCTAGGATTCCTTTTCCCTCCTCCAGGTCGTCTGTGCTGAGGAACTTGCCGCGGGAGAACAGGTCCTGTGCAAGAAAAACACACATCTCCTCAACAGAGTTCATCTGTGTCTGTAGTTACATGACGAGCTTTAAAACATTTGTTCTCATTAAGAACTTACGATCAATCACCCTGATCTTCTTCATTTTTCTTTTTTACTTTACAATTTTTTGTTCTTCTGTTTGTATATCTACATGTACATACATATATATGTTATATTTGTTAAATCATTTTAAGTTGGCCTCCTTGCGTGCAGCGCCATTGGCATTGTCTTTGTACTGTTGTATTGTTTAATTGAAAAAGATATTATTCAATAGACTGACCAAGTGAGGCTTCTCATTGGACACCGAACAAGACTACTTTCTGAGAGGGGTGCTAAAGGCTACTAGTATTTATAAAAGGAACCATCAGTCAACCGCGACGGGCGCCGACATAGTTAACCGGATATATTTTAACCCAGTGTTGATGTCACACTTCAGAGAAGCCACGTGACAAGCCTCACTGGCTCAGTCAATTGAAGACGATCAGTGACTGGTTCAAAGCTCTAGGAACAAAACCCTTCACTCTGAACATATGTGGCTATTTTTTTATTCAGATCAGTTGACAAAACAGACGTAACGGTGACGCACTCAAGTTTTCGCAAACTTATATTAGTGCCACCACTATACAAATATATACAAGGCGAATCAGTGAAAACAAAACAAAATATAATAAACTTATATAGCAGAAATATTGAATGTAGAGGGGCAAGATCAATAAGCGCCAGGTAAGCGTCAACTGAAAGTAATCACTCAAGAAAAAGAAGACATACTAGAACATGAACCAACCTGCAACACTTCTATCTCCCTTGATTCCTGGTAACTCAGCTTGATACTGTGTCTGTCGATGTCATTCGTCAGGATGGACAGGTTTACCTCCAAGTGGACCCTTTTCAACTCTCGGTCAATGTCGTTGACCTCCTGTTCACTCATCCTGTACTTGAACCGATTGTGCATCAGGATGGACTTCAGCATGCTGAGTTGTCTCTTGTATCTGATGCGGTCTTCAGGCGTCAGGGAATCCTTCTTCTCTCTCAGCATCTTATCGTAGTCGTTTATCACCTTCAGGAATTCGAACTGCATCTGGATGACGGCCACCTCTCCCAACGTCAAGCGATCCATGGCGACAAGCTTGTCTTCCAACGTCTGCCTTGCTTCCATGTTTCCAGGGTCACTCGAGCTCAGGAAACGGGCTCTTGCTATCTGTGCCTTGATGGCAGATGCTTGTTGGTGTATTTCGTGACTGTTGCCTCGTACTCTCCTCTTGACTTCTTCAATGTCGGATAAAGTCTTCTTGATAAGATTGGCGTACCTGAGATTGCGGCGGATGGGGGTGTTGCACCAGGGGCAGACTTTCAGCTGTATGCTGAGAGTGCCAGTCTCGTCAATGTCTTTCTGAGTCATGTGTATGTCCAGGGCTTGGACCTCTACGATGTGGCCACAATCTTCCAGTTGAATGAAACGAGCTCCTCTCTCGTCTTCTCTGCCGAAAAAGATGGTGGTGACTTCTTCACGGTTGCAGACTCTGCACTTGGTAGGGCAAGGTTCACCACAGAGACCGATGCAGCGATGACCACAACGAAGCTTTCTCTTGCAGGGTCTGTTGCAAGGAGGCCTGTTGCATGGTTCGCCACATCTGCGCGTACACTGAAAGTGTTGACAACGCCACTTGCAAGGCTCGCTGCAAGGAGCACATGGATCGCCACATCGGTGATTACATCTACTGTGGAAACACCTGTTCTGGCAGGCTACCTGGCAAGGAGGGCAGTCACTGGTACAAGGGAATGTACACTGGTGGGAGCAGACAAGATTTCTACCGCAGGGATTGTTGCAGGGAGCGTGGAGACGCCCCTGTTGGCAGGATCCACATGTCCCTTGGCATAGATGCCCACATTCCAGCGGCTGTTGACAAGGAATTGGGCACTGGAAGGTTTCTGGGGTTTGATCACAGTACATTGTGACGAGATGACCACATGGCATCTCCTTGGTTACTTGCTCTTTGCATGCCAGGGTACATTGTTGGCCGCAACTGTATCGGCAACGATGCCCGCACGGTTTGATCTTCTCGCATGGCTCACGGCAGCAGAAGTCCTTTGGGTCGACGCTACATGGCACCATTTGCTCGTGACCACAACCAGGCATGATCTTCGGGACTCGGACCATACAGGGTCCACAGTCGGCCCAACATCTCTTCCGACAAGCATGACCCTGCTCGCATTTCTTAGTGCAGTCTTCGTAGCACTTGTACACTTTGTGTTCCGGGTCTGCAGGGTGGCACGACAGTCGACAGCGGTGGCCACACTCGAGTCGCACGTCACAGTCCCTCGTGCAGCCGCCCTCCGGTGCAGCTGTGAAGTCTTTAGCAGAGCGAGCCTTGACTTCCGTATCCGGGTGATTCTGACACCTCAGCATCAGATGATGTCCAATGCAGCCTCTTTCTTCCATGTCCGCCTTGATGTTGCGCCAAAGCTCTGTCTTTCTGGCGAGCATGCTGATGTTTCCAATGCAGTAGAACCCCATCCTTGCCCTGGACAGCGCCACGCACACGCGATTGGAGATGCTCAAGAATCCGATACTGCCTTCCCTGTTGCTACGGACCAGGGACAGCAGGACAATGTCGTTTTCTTCGCCCTGGAAGTTGTCCACGACTGTCACGCGAACTCCTTCGAACAACTTTTTCTCATCTTGCCTCTCAGTTTGTACAGCTGACCCTTGTAAGTCGTGAGTACCGTTATCTGCGATCTGTCGTACCCCTGTTGAATCAGATATTGACAAAGGGCTACGACGTAATCGGCCTCGTGGTCGTTAGCATGGCTGAGGAGCTCCTCGTTGTGCACCTCGTCTCTGTTGTGATCGATGAAGAAGATGTTCTTGTCGATGCCTTTTATCCTATCGTAGCTCCTGACGGACTCGTGGTCTAACAGGTTGGGGTAGATATGCTTCATGAGGACTGAGATTTCCGGGCGCATGCGGTGTTGGGTCGACAATGTGTGAGGGTGGAGACCGTTCTTCACCATGCGTTCGAACAGCGAGTAGTCTAGATTAAAGTCCTTGGCCAGCTTGTACACAGTTGGATTAGGACGAAGCTGTTGGTGATCTCCTATGAGGATGAGGTGTTCACATCCTCTCGTCAGGGTTGTGATGATGTGGGCCTCCAGAACTTCTGCAGCCTCTTCAACGACTATGATCTTGGGGCTGACTCGTTCAAGGATCTTCCGGTACCTGGCTGCCGCCGTGGTGGTCATGCCGATCACTGTCGCGCCTTGCAGGACTGACAAATCCTCCTCAAGCCCCAGTTCTTCCCTTTCTGTCGAGAGAGTCTCGTACTGTCTCTGGAGGTTAAAGACCAGCTGACGATAGTGGTTGATGTGTCGAAGAACCCAGTAGTTGTACAGCCTCCACCGATCGGGCAGCTGTAGTTGCCTGATGTCTTGTACACTGTCTGCTTCTTCTGCGTCCATCGGAGGGAAATTTTGACGGCCGTACCTGATCCTCCTCTCTACATCATTCCAGTTGACGACAAGCTGAAACCCGTCATTTTCATACGCTTCTTCCTCTTGAGGAAGGTTGTTTCCCGACGAATTGTTGCTTATCTCTTCGTGGTTGACTGTATTGTAAACCTCATACTCCTCCTCTCCTAGGCGCTCCATCTCAGCTACCTTTGCCTCTCCGTCTACCTCTATGGGTGCTTCGTCTTCGGTGGTTTCATCACTGCCGTCAACGTCATTGGTGTTAGATATAGCATTATCATTGGTGCCGTTCCTAGTGGCGTCAACTACTTCAGTAGCGTCATTCCCTGTAGAGTCAACTCTACTAGCGTCATGCCCGGTCGCGTCAGTGGCTTCCTTCCAAGTCGCGTCAATCGTTTGGTCGTCTTCGATGGTTTCTGTGCCGTTAACCACATTGGTGTCGGATCTAGTGTCGTCATTGGCATCTTTTCCAATGGTGTCAACAGTGGGTTCAATTCTACTAGCGCCATGTCCGCTCACGTCAGTAGCTTGTTTCCAAGTGGCGTCAATCGTTTGGTCAGCTTTGATGTTGGCAGTTGGAGTTCCGAGCTCTTCAGGAGTGCGGGA